CTGCCTTTGGGGAATGCTGCAGAGACAGGAATAGCTCTAGGTGTCAGTGCTTGCCTGTGCCAACTGCTGGATCAGATGTGAATGTTCTGCTCTAATAACATAAATCAGAAATAAGAACCCAAGCTCTCATGAGATTCACAGTGACCAATGGCTGGAGAGTAGACAGAACCATCACACCTGCTCTTCCAATGCTTTGTAGATGCAATCAGAATGCTTAGTTACCAGCTGGAGACCTGTGTTTTAAAAACTCATTTAGTAGCCTTTTAAAAATCAGTGCAGATATATATGTAACAAGATTTTTGGTTTTGCTTTTCTGTGTACCATCAGCATTCTCAGTAGCTGAGGAAGAAAATTATGGCATACTTAAAGCAAATATTCAGATGCAGCACATCCTCTGTGTTCAGCAGCACCTCTAAGTGAACCCACAGAGCCAATGCACTCAGCTGTATTACAGTCTCTTAAGTTTGCATCTCTTTTATTACTTTCTGGCATATGTATGTGGTACGATAGCAGGAACAGGACCTTTTTTGCATGTTTTCAGTGCATTACTTGCAGTACCCAAGTCAGCCTGGATTTCGAGGTGCTACTGCTTTTATGTCAGCATTGCTGTGTCTCATGTAGAACTCCTTGTTGATTCTTTTCAGTTGTTTATAATAAGATGTAGCCTTTTGTGATAACTCCAGGCATATATATAGCCAGTTTACATAGAGCTTAGTGTTCCTCTTTGGGTTCTCTTCCACTCCTGGGGTAGTAGTCTGGTGTAATCCATGGAACATCTGCCTTAGTTCACCACTTCAACCTAAAACCTTCTGCAGGATTCAAAATTAGATCAATCCTACAATCCTAGAGCACAGTTTCCATCAAAGAAAGGAGGTTGGAACACCTTGGTGTGCACTGGTCAGTCTGCCCAGGTGAGGATGCTTCCTAGAAAAAAATGAACTTTTACAACCTGCCAAAATATTTGGAGTTTATTGCAAATGCTGCTTTCCAGACAAACTGGAAGTTCTTGCATAGCTGGGATTCTCTTCTGGAAAAACTCACACTGCCACCAGAAGTCTTTGGCTGACCTAAATGGATTAGTGTTCTTACTCCAAGGAAATCATGGCAAGTGGCAGTTTAGCGAAAGATCTTGCATATACAGCTATTGCCTTACTCTTCATTTTTGCGTCAACCACACTGCCACAGTTTGAGACAGACAAGTGACAAGAACACACCGAGTTCGTGCAGCAGCAGCCAAATTTTATTATTTGGAACCCCCTTTTATAAGGGCTTTAAATTTCCCATGGTTATATACATGATTACCTAAGGGTCTCAACTCCACCCAGCTCACTGGCCAATGATATGGGTGTATCTGTGCTCCGAAGGGATTGGCTGGGGTCCCCTGTGTGAACTTGAGTCTAACCTATCAGTAACATGCCAGGGGATTTGTTTACTTCAGCTCTTCTAAGGTGATAGGCTGGGGTCTGTGAAATCAAATTATCTGTGCAGCTGTAGTCCAGCTACAGCTGTCACACCCCATAAGATACTTTGTTAGCATTCTCAAAATGCCACGCACTTCCTCAGATTTACTTCAGCCTTCTGTCTTGTTTCACCATCTGTGTGGATTGCCTCACTCAGATTTTGTGAGTGTGGTGATGTTTTAATGAGGGACACAGGTTTAGATAGTGTTTGTTTAGGATGTTCACTATGATTTTAAATTCTGCTTAATTCTACTTTATAATTTTACTAAGTGTGAATTTTGTTAATTTGCATGTGGTACAGTATCAGATGTTTCACAGAAATCAAGGTAGATTGCATTTTCATTAACCTTCTACTTTCCTTTAATCTATCTCTGTCAAATACCAGCCCTACTACTTTTCATTGGTAGGGAGTAAAAGATCGCTTAATTCCACCTCTCTCCTCCTAGGTGTTACTTTTTCTTTGGCTCTCTATTGTAATACATATTTTTTGTCATTTAGGTAGGTATGCTTGGAGGCATGGCCTGGATGTTTCTTCCACATCCATGCAAATTATTCCACATGCGTTCTGTGCCTATGTCTTTAAGGAACACCAGTCCTCCTTCCTTCTCCAGGCTTCATTAAGTAGCCTTTCTAACTTTTCATAATAAAGCTAAATTTAAAAAAAAAATTAAATAAACCTATATTTAAATTTTTTAAATAAATGTTTATAGAACTGCAAACTTGCTGTTCTTAAAAAAAATCCTCTTTCTCATTCTCACTTTTTTCCACCTATAAAACACTTACATAAAACAAATGAAAATTTAAACCCCTAGAAAATACTCTTTCTTGTCCTGAAGGCTGCTGAAATTATCACAATTATTCATGCAGCCTTAACTGTTGACAGAAGTTTTTGTTTGTTTTATGTAGCTACTGTATTTCATTTAGAAGCTACTAAAAGTACATCTTAGAGACCATCTGCTTAAAATGACAGTGCATACTAGGGCTAAATTTTTAAACTTCTTTTCCTGCTTTGTTCATTATCTCTCCAAAAACTGGTTACATAACAAACTCAGTATTCAGTGCTAAGGGTTTCTTGTCTGAATTAATTTTCTACTTACATCCAATGTGCACACATCCATTTGCAAGTATTTATATCTCAGTCGTATGCTGACTTTTTTGGGAGATCAGGGGTAAAAGTAGGGAGAGCCTTGTTTTAATACTTAAGTACCTTGTAAAGACTGCAGGTTCCTCAGAACAATTAACTGTCCCTTTGATGAAGGGACCTTTTTCCTTTTTCCCCCTTACGGCCTGTTCTGTTCTGGATTCCATGCCATGAGTTAAAAAAACCTGAGCTGATGGTTAGAGCCCTGTACTCCTGCACATAGCAGGCCTTTTGTTTAGTTGCATTTTGGTTGGTTTATTTCTTGGTTGGATTAAGTAATACACATGTTAAGAAGGACGAAATTTCCTTTTGGAGAGAATTTGTTGGTATAAGTTCCCACACTTTGACATGTAGTTATTTGCTACAACAACAACAACTCATTTCAAGTGTTCCCCCTTCTTCTCTTGTCATTCAAGCTGTTTTCTTCTGGTATTTTGCATGATCTCCAAAATACTCACACCTGCACTTGGCATCTAGGATTGAAAATGAGAATAAATTAGAAGTGAAGGTAGGATAATTAGTTTGTTTTCAGTGAGATTATTGGATTTTACTTCCATTTCTTATTTTTATTTAAACAAAAAATCTGGAAGATGACTGTGATTTGGTTTGAGCTGTTTCTATAGAATACAGATCTAATAGGTTTGAAGAACTGTTAGGAAGTGTTAACATTATTAATTGAAAGAAAGATAGAAGAGGAAGCTACCCTGCCAGATAGCATTGCTTCTATGATCTCTAGCAATTTAAACATTAAAAAAGGTGGGCTTAACGAGAGAATCCCTTCCTCTTTACCTGCTAACGGAGTCATGGTAAGCTGGAAATGTGATGCTAACAATCTTCAGCTATTGAAGTCTGTAGCCTTCCCTGATACCTTTTACAATGATCTCTGATTTTTCAGAATATCAATTAAATGTTAAAACCTTTTTGAACCTCTTGCAGAGATTTCCAACAGTCCTATATCACCTAAAAATTCAGTGGAATAGTCCATATGTGATTTATTACTACATCTTTATGGTTTCATTATATTAAATATTTAATGTGAATTCTAATATTCATGAGTTAACTTACGTTTTGTCAGAAGAGAAATAACCAGTGAAATTCTGAGTGGTTTTTTTACATCTCATATTCATATTCTGAATCTCCATAAAGATACAACTGTAATGACAACTTGCAATCCTGCAAACATCACATATGAGAACAGACAGTCCCTCTGTTCAGTAAAAATTCATTATTATTGTAAAATGAGGAAATTTCTTCCTTCCCTAAAATGTTGTGGAGAATTGTATTTAAAGTGTGCTTGGGACAGATTGGAGAGATGCTGTGAATTCCATTAGTGATGTATACTTGGCCTCTGTGCACAAAAATCCCTATAATTTAGGAAGGAGTCTGGTGATCAGGATTATTTTGTCCAAATATTATAGCTGGACTCTGCAACAGGTCTACCAGGGGATTTTTTTGGCAATGAGGTCCCAGATGACCATGGTAACTGCAACAGAGGTAACAGCAATTCTTTTGCAAGTTACTCTTTTTCCTAACCTCCTTCTTGTAGCTTAAACATGTATCACTAGATGGAAGATGGTCAAAATGTTTATATGGCACAAAAAATAAGCTCTTGGGGAAAAGGCATATGATGACTAAGTGTATCATGCACAGAGGCTGCGTGTGTTTCTGGTTTTAGGGTCACAAATTCCAAAGGCATTTCTATGAATGATTTTTACCCGTAAACCCAGAATAGAAAAATTCACCTGAAGCGACAGACTGATTTTAAGTTAAGGTCTGGAAGCTGCATAATATGTACTGGGACTAGTTCAGCATACTTGGATTCAGTTTTTTTATGTGATGCTAATGGCATTTCATGTTTTGTAGGATTGAAGTGCAAAGACTTGAGTGCTCAAGTAGGGCCAGAAATGTGTAAGAGTTTTACATTGACTGCATCTGAAAACAAACCCAAAAAACAAAGACAAAATTGATCATTGCTCTCAATATAATGATTGGTATTGGACTCAGTATAGTGATTGGTATTGCGTAGAGAGAACAGTAAGCAAAAAGGACTTTTTTACAAATTAGAATTTCATAGCAAACCTTCTGTGGTAATATGAGCATGTATTTTCTTTCTTTTCTTACATTAAAGATTTCATATAGCCTTTTTATTTAGGAAACTATCAGTTAGAGAACTAATTCCACAAAGTTACTTTATCTAGTTATGCTTTGTATAGTTCTTTTTCCAGAGAAGTTTAAAATGAATAATAGCTTCATATTTGATTTTAATGTTTGCTTTGATAATAATGGGGGAAAAATATTTCATTTAGACATTTCTGTCTTCTTTGTTGACCTAACTGTTGGCACATTTATCCACTAATAGCAGAAATTTTGATGAATCTTTTGTATTTGCTTTTGCACAGAGAGTTTGGGTGGCGGGATCCAGAGCTTCCAGAAGTTATACAGATGTTACAGCATCAATTTCCCTCAGTACAGTCGAATGCTGCAGCCTACTTACAACACCTCTGTTTTGGAGACAATAAAATAAAAGCAGAGGTAAGATTTATAAATCCTTTTTCCAGCAGTGTTGTTGTCTGCTGTTTATCATCAATAATTATCTATGTGTGCTGTAAAAAACTTAAAAGAGACATCATGGATATATGCCTGGACCCATTTTACTAAAGCTTTCAATTAAGTCATTTGTTGCTGTTAAATGTTAAAAATGCATAAAATACTGTTGTAACTCATTGTTCTGTTTCCTTAGGAACAGTTTGATTGATTGCATACCATTTAAACATTGTATCATAGTTGTTCAGTAATCAGCTAGTGGTGTAGTTTTGATCTTGCTGAAACATATGGGCATTTCCACAGGGCTCTCCAAGAGACATCTAAACACTAAATACAAACACAGAATATGAAAATTACGCAAATAAGTTCTAAATCAGAGCATCCTTTAATGCATAATTGTGTGAATAGGTTTCATTTCACTGGTTTTGCAGCTTGAATAGTACTCATGGGTCTTATGATCTTGTAATTCAGTGCAGATTGTATCAAAAATGTAGTTCAGACATCAATATAGAGCTTGTTCTGTACATGTAGCTGACAGATACCTTCTTTCTTGTTTGTTCCCGGTGGTTAATGGGACCAGCACAGCTTTTGGCACAAGTTAAACAGAAGGAAGGCAGCTCTGAGGGATCTGACAAACACACAGCAGTCAACTAAAATGGAATAAGTGAAGCTGTTACCAGCCCCAGCTGCTTCCCCTGGCCGTGTTAGAGACACTACTAATCAGGGGCATATGGCATGCACATGAATCTGTGCCTGTACTGGCACCTTTTAGCCTGGCATGTAAAGGTAAACTGAGATCAAGATGTGCTATTGCTTATTTGTCAGAACTGTGCCATGATGCTAGCTTGCCAGTGCTTCATCCTCCTCACCCTCAGCACAAACAACTCTGTGGATATATCCCACTATAGAACCTTCCCTTCCAGGCTTTTTCATGCTCAGGAAATTCCTTAGTGAGTAAGCATGTAGTCTGCTGGCGTTGGCAGAACTGCACTGGTTGCATACATCACCTCAAACGTCTTAGAAATAGTAATTTAAAAAGTATTTATATGAATGTTAAAGTGAGGAATGTTGTGGAGAAGAGAAGTCTGGTACAGATATCACTGAAAATTTTAAATGCACACTCTCTCTGTACTTGACTCTCATCCTTACTCAGAAATTATTTTTTCAGTAAAAGAATTGATACATCTCTGAAAAAGGCAGTTAAATTATTAGAGCAATTTACTTATTGCACAACCTCTGCTGCCTCCTGTTAGCCATAGATTGAGAGCCCTCAGGTAGCTGTCCTGTTTAAGGGAGGAAGATGGTTTAATTTTTGTTGCTGATCATTTGGTAAAAAAGGTCTCAGGTCATTGTTGATCTCACCCATCCCATCTTTGGACATCAGCCTTTGTAAGCTTCAAGCTCATGAGCTGGAAGGGTGAAGGTATGTAAATAAAACAGTAGAGAACTAAACAGGTTGTGAGTTTCTTCTGTGAGAAAGGATAGAAGATAAAACAAGGATTCCCCCGCTTCATTTGTTATTATTCAGGACTTTCATATGCTCTTCACTATGTAATACAGAAACTGCTATGGAAACGAACCAAAATACCTTTCTTAAAACAGTTCATCTAAAAATATGCTTTCAAACTTCTGGTACTTTGGATTTTTGTAAGACAACAAAATAATGGGATGTATTGTATACTTTCCTAATGCTTTGTGGAGCTTTTCAGCCTAAATCATCCAATATTATCAAACTATTTTATCTTTGTGTGTATCTATCTATGTACCAACCTCTATTATTTAATGGTAAGCCCTGTTGTGTTTAGGTCATGCCTCAGCAGAGCACTTGAAATAGTTTCTGTGTTTGCTTCTTGGGATTGGGGTCTACCCAAATGGCTCAGTAGTGTGCCTAGAGTATGCTCGACCTTCCACTGAATCACGGTTTCTCAAACGACCTTTTGTGTGAGAGTTCAAAATCCTGTTGATAAGGTTGTATCACACCAGATATCAAAGATTCTTCCTTGGTATATATCTAGCCAGAGGAACTTAAGAAGTCCTCTTAAAACTGCCTGGGATATTGAGAGACCGCCAGCTTATTCACGATTCTTCACAGAAGTAGAAGTGAACGCCGTTTATTTCTATCTTTAGCACACCTTTTATAGGGTTCTACAGGGTCCGTGGGCTAAGCAAATTACTATTGGCTAACACACACAGGTTTACATTTTTTCTCCTGTACACAAGGATATTTTTTCGCTTTACTCTCTCTTCTGCAGGAAGGTTTCAAGGACTTTAACCTTTAATATCACGACTTATTTCAAAGACTGGTTTGTGCAGACAGGCTTTACTAATATATAAAATATAGCAACACTGGGACAACTCCTGTTGTTAAGCAACTGTTAAGAACGTGTCTGAGTTGAACTAACACCTAAATAATAGAAATTGATACCAAAATTCTCTTTTCTGCAAAGTATTTGTGTTGTAGTTGTGTGTTGTCACCAGTTCTCCTCTGTCTGAGAGTGACCACATTTAATACCTAATTCCTTCTTTGTGATAGCAGCATTCCAGTCATGCTGTACACAGTTGCAGGGAATCCTGACAGCTCTGACACAAGGAAAAAAGCACCAGGATACAGCATATTTTCTGTACAATCTCTTACTGAGATTACAGAGAAAAAAAACCAAAAACCTTTTGAGGCAGAGAAAACTGCTCTTTAACGAAATATCTAGCTTTAATATATCAAAGGACTTGGGCTAAAGATAAGAAACTGTCCTAGTGGTCTTTCAAATCCTAGAGAGAGGACAAACATAGAAATGTGTAAGTAAAGAATGCTGCTGCTATTTTGTGTGTCTGACAGGCACTGAGAAAAAAGCAAATGGAATTAAATAAATAATTTTATAAGTGTTAGTCTGTAATGTACACTTGAATGTGCATGCACAGAAAGAATAATATTATACAACTATTTAGCTTATTTACCTGGTTGTATTAAATTTGAAATGTAATGCAGTTGTTAAAATTTCAACTGTGGACTTACCTGACCGGGGAAAAAAGTCCTCTCTACCTTTGTCACTACTGAGCATCGAATTCTCAGACTGCAGTTAATGGCTATTACACCCAGAGTTTCTAGAAATAACTGTTCTGAAATACTTTTTTTTATTATTCTTTTAAGTGTGATTTATATTGTATCACCTACCCTAAAAGGTGATTAATGATCTATCCTCTGAACCTGACCATTCTTTGTCTTCCAGTTTTGTTTTTGTGTAGTGGCAGACATGGCCTCCTCTCATAAATTAGTGGCATATGTATAAAATTTCTCCTTGTGTAAAATTTAGACATAAATAGAAAATAGCAGCCATGACTGTATGCATTTCTGAGATTCCTAATACCTTTTATGGTTTTACCATTATGTTTTTATTTTCGAAAATATTTCAATTTCTGTGGCTAAAGTGGAAGACTACCCCTTGCTTTCTCTGAATTCCCCCTCAAGAAAAGGAAGTGTAAAAGCTCTCCAGAAAACAACTGAGAAAAAGATGGTCAAATATGTTGGATGCATGGCTAGGGAAGTTAGAGCTATTTTTCCCTTCATGAACATGTTTTTTATGGTAGGTGTTTTTTCTAGAGCACATTGATCACAGGTGTCCTTATGAACTGGTCACTGGATGATTTGATGTCACTGGAAATGTGCTTTTATTGCTGCATCAATGTAAATGTCTTGCTCAGTCTTATGTAGCAATGAGGTCTGTAAATCCCCCTCTCTGTCTTAAAGTACTTCAAACAAAGTTGATAACTGTTTATGTGTAGATGTCCAAGGCTGGATGCTAAGGTTAGCACAAGTAATTTTCTTCCTCACAGAATAAACCCAGCTTATGCAGCGAATTAGGTTTTATACTTCTGGAAGAATTTGTATTTTTCCCCTTCCAACCCTGATCACAGCAGAACAGCAAAAGGTAAATGCAATAAACACTGGCCATTGATAAAGATGGCAGTGTTACTTCTTGCAGGTGCTGCCACTTCTATGCTGCTCAAAGCCATTCAGTGCAAGTATTTATTTGAAATACATACTTACAAATTGTAACTGCTACTCTAATCTGAAAGTTTTTCACAAATGCTACTCCTGAGTCTCCTTGAGTCTTGCTGACTGCAAGGCAGGTGCTATACATGCTCTCAGTAGTGTTTCTCGTTCTCTACCTTTATTGCCTGTGCTGGGTGCTTATGTGGTGGAGCAGATATTAGAATGGAGTTGAAGAAATTGGATTATTTTTGCTAATGTTTGATAGTTATATTTTTCACCTCCTTTGGAATAGTGACCAATCATCTCTGAAGATCTCATATATGTAGAAGGGAACGTAGGGAGTCAGAAGTCTAAACACTGATTGTAAAAATTACCAGGCAGCCCATTACAGTTAGGCATAATAATTCCAAAATTCCGAATTTCAGAGTACTTCAGTAAGTTTCTATATACATTATTCTTTCACTGGTGACAGTGAAGAATGTAACTAAAAGGGAAGGAGGGAAGAAGATTTGATCAAATATTTGAAGGCAAATGAAAAGCCTAACAGGCAGAAGAGCACAAGAAGACCCTTTCAGATGGTATTTTTCTCCTCAGGAGAGGCTCTTACACCAACAATGGCGAGACTGTGAGCAGAGCCAGAGTAGCTGCTCCTGGATGCCAAGAAGGAACACACAGGGATGTAGGAACGGAGAAGCAATTTAAAATACTCTGCCGAGAACATTTCTTTGAAAGGGCACATTCTATTAAACACAGGATTCATTCTTCCACAGCATTTTTTTCTTCCTATGACATTTTCCTCGTTTGTATGAGGTCACCATATAAAAGGATTGAATTGTGCAGTTTCACACACCAGCACCATTTTGCTCTCATGGAAAATGGCTGTCTGCCATCAGCTGCAAAGGTGTAACAGGTCACTCAGGGGTTTTGGCACCAATGATTCTTTTCCTAAAGCTAGGAAATTAATTTTTGCCAGCAAAGTCACAACACTTAAGATTCTCAC